GCATGGAACCCTGCCCAGGGGCCGGAGCCCGGGTGACCCCAGGAGTGGTTCCAGAGCTTAAGGGAAGGCCTGGGGGGCGGACAGGGCGTTTTTCCAATTTCAGCAAAGCAGTGAACTGGGGGTATCTGTTCATTTTGTTTCCTCTGCGCCTGGGTCTGTAAAGTCAGCGGTTGCCTTTAAAATCCCATTGTTCCTTCACATGTGAGGATTGCTGTCCTAGGCCATCCATTTATATGGTCATGGGGTCAGAGGTCTCAGACTCACATTGCCTACGGGGGCAAAGGATCCAGGTAAGTAAACTGAAGCAAGCCCAGTAGAGATGGTGGGAAACTGTAAATGGATGGCCCTGGCTGAAGGGAGGTAGCTGAAAATCTGGAGAGAGAGCAAGAACAAGAAGAGAAAGGGAAGAGGAGGCAGAGAGAAAAGAGAGAGGATATCCCCCAGTTTATTATAGTGCCCTTGCTTCAAAAAATTTAAGCATGCGATGGGCTAAGTAGAATATGTCTTCCAGGGCCAGTTTGGGGCGGCTCTTGCCTAACTGAACTTATCAACACAGTAGAGAAGGCGGCCAGTCTGGCTCCGTCACCTCGTCTAGAGCGCGCTGTCCAATAAGATTTCTGCGAATGGATAAAATATCTGCACCGTTTTCATTACGAGTTAACCACTGGCTACAGTGTAGGTCTTGAGCACTTATAAAAATAGGACCTAAAGAACTGAATCTTTAATGTTATTTAACACTTTACTGAATTTCAATGTAACTGATAAATAGCTACAGGCAGTGTATATTTGCTTACCTATGTAGAAACATGGTCTAGATTCTTTCCATGTAGAGAGTATCATCATGCTTGACTACGCAGGAAAAGATCACTCCTTCTTGGGAGAGTAGATAGAATTATACCTGAGATCACCAAGCATTGAATCAGAGTCCTGGTAAATGGAAAAGAAGGAAATACGAGGAATAATGAGCAGTAAAAGCTTGGTGTAACCAGATGTCTGCTGGCCCAAGGGTGCTCACTCACGTGTCCTTCCAGTTCCCCCCACTTGCCAAAAAGTTTCTCATTCAGGTCACCCTTTAGCATCCACCATGTTCTTGCCATCTGCTTACTCCCATTTGCCCAGAGCTGACCCCTTAGGAAGCCACCTGGGGGGACTTCCCTGCTGCCACTTGGTCTCCAGGCCTAAAGAGCACACCAGTGTCCAAACCACCCGTGGTGCTGCCGTAGGCCACAGAGAGCAATGCAGGTCCTATGCAGAGGTGGCTGTCTTTGATGTCAGGGGAAAGGCATTTGGGGAGGCTCTGTTTTTCTCATTTGGAAGGGGATTGTTGGGGGCGCTAAAGTGTGACAACAGTAGCGATCACATTTCGGTCTTAATAAAATACCGTGACGCTCAGCTAGACGCTACCTCATACTCCACCAGCTGACCTGGATCGAGTTACCCCTTGAGCCAGCTCAGAGGGGAGCTGGACTGCGCAGAGGCCATGAGGATGGGGGAGCCTCCGGGGAAGAGAATCCCACCACCCTCAGTGCTGCCATCCTCTCCTAGGTGTGAGGGTGGGGGACTGTAAAGTCAGAGGGAGACTTTGTCCACACGAACTGCAGCGGTGCTTCTGGTCTCTTCCAGCTCAAAGTGTGAGTATCTTGTAGGGGTCTGAATGGGATCTGCTGGCAGAGATGGTGGAAGGGTTCCCATAGCGTTGACACAGGTGAGGTGCAGTGGGGCTGAGGACTGGGCCCTGGATGCAATCCCTGTCTCAGGGGATTTTTACTTTCTGACCCAGAGTAACACCTGCAAAAAGCCTTGTATAAAAATGTCCATCATCCTGGTGAGAAACTGGAAAACACCT